AGACCAAGAGAGAGACCAGAGAGAGAGACCAGAGAGAGAGACCAGAGAGAGAGACCAGAGAGAGAGACCAGAGAGAGAGACCAGAGAGAGAGACCAGAGAGAGAGACCAGAGAGAGACCGAGAGAGAGACCAGAGAGAGACCAGAGAGAGACCAGAGAGAGACCAGAGAGAGAGAGACCAGAGAGAGAGAGAGACCAGAGAGAGAGAGAGAGAGGACCAAGAGAGAGAGAGAGACCAGAGAGAGAGAGAGACCAGAGAGAGAGAGAGAGACCAGAGAGAGAGAGAGAGACCAGAGAGAGAGAGAGAGACCAGAGGAGAGGGACCAGAGGAGAGGGACCAGAGGAGAGGGACCAGAGGAGAGGGACCAGAGAGAGAGACCAGAGAGAGAGACCAGAGAGAGAGACCAGAGAGAGAGACCAGAGAGAGAGACCAGAGAGAGAGGATGGATCAATGGGAGATGATAGTCCTGCTTGTCCCTCAGACCTGTTCCCAGTCTGTCCTTGAGTCCTCAGTCTGTGCTTCTGGTGTCGATGGTCTTGATGGTTATAGTTTGTTTTAACCATTAAAGGCGGGAAAGCGACACGTCGGTTTATATTTTTAGACCAATTGTCTTCATTGGTCAGTTTTCTGGACCAATGAAATGCTTCAGGATAAACCAGGGATGGGAACTTTCTGCGGATCTGCAAATTCAGAAAATATAATTTCTGTGAAATGTGTGACCGCTGTTGTTGTACGGACTCTGACGGGACCATAGACGCACGGACAGGACCATAGACGCACGGACAGGACCATAGACGCACGGACAGGACCATAGACGTGCAGGCAGGACCATAGACAGGCGGGCAGGACCATAGACGCACGGACAGGACCATAGACGCACGGACAGGACCATAGACGCGCAGGCAGGACCATAGACAGGCGGACAGGACCATAGACGCACGGACAGGACCATAGACGCACGGACAGGACCATAGACGCGCAGGCAGGACCATAGACGCGCAGACAGGACCATCACCAGCTTGTCTGTCTCCCCTGTGTCTCCTCCCGAAGCACAACCAAAACTCACTAAATTAAAGCTGAGGTACCTAACTTTTCCCCTTGAATTGACAGTGCATGTTATTTGTGCACAAAAGTAAAATGTTGTGAACAAACCACAGCAGTCTTACTTCAGAAATAGCCCAGTGAGTCATTATTTGACTTTTATATTTTTTTCCAGTTAGTGCCACTTTATCGTGTTGATATGTGGTCTCTCTCGCTGGTCTCTCTCTCTGGTCTCTCTCTCTGGTCTCTCTCTCTGGTCTCTCTCTGGTCTCTCTCTCTGGCCTCTCTCTCTGGTCTCTCTCTGGTGTCTCTCTCTCTGGTCTCTCTCTCTCTGGTCTCTCTCTCTGGTCTCTCTCTCTGGTCTCTCTCTCTGGTCTCTCTCTGGTCTCTCTCTGGTCTCTCTCTGGTCTCTCTCTCTCTGGTCTCTCTCTCTGGTCTCTCTCTTGTCTCTCTCTCTCTGATCTCTCTCTGGTCTCTCTCTGGTCTCTCTCTCTGGTCTCTCTCTGGTCTCTCTCTGGTCTCTCTCTGGTCTCTCTCTGGTGTCTCTCTGGTCTCTCTCTGGTCCCTCTCTCTGGTCTCTCTCTGGTGTCTCTCTGGTCCCTCTCTCTGGTCTCTCTCTGGTCTCTCTCTGGTGTCTCTCTGGTCTCTCTCTGGTCCCTCTCTCTGGTCTCTCTCTGGTGTCTCTCTGGTCCCTCTCTCTGGTCTCTCACTTAGACCAAAGGGCCGGGGGGGATGTGTTTAATGTGAGCATGGATGGATCTAAAAACACCTTCAGATCTGTGTGTAATGAGGAGCATGCGTTCTGTTCTCAGATCCAGGAGCAGCAGGAGCGCCGGCGGCAGGAGCAGGAGGAGGCGCAGAGGTATGAGGCTCAGCTGGAGGAGGAGATGAGGAGGCACCAGCCCTGGGGCCGAGGAGGAGGAGGTGCCCCACTGAAGGACAGCACAGGCAACGTCATCGGTAAGAGAGACCAGAGAGAGAGACCAGAGAGAGAGAGACCAGAGAGAGAGACCAGAGAGAGAGAGACCAGAGAGAGAGAGACCAGAGAGAGAGACCAGAGAGAGAGACCAGAGAGAGAGACCAGAGAGAGAGACCAGAGAGAGAGACCAGAGAGAGAGACCAGAGAGAGACCAGAGAGAGAGACCAGAGAGAGAGACCAGAGAGAGAGACCAGAGAGAGAGACCAGAGAGAGAGACCAGAGAGATAGACCAGAGAGAGAGACCAGAGAGAGAGACCAGAGAGAGAGACCAGAGAGAGAGACCAGAGAGAGAGACCAGAGAGAGAGACCAGAGAGAGAGACCAGAGAGAGAGACCAGAGAGATAGACCAGAGAGATAGACCAGAGAGAGAGACCAGAGAGAGAGAGACCAGAGAGAGAGACCAGAGAGAGAGACCAGAGAGAGAGACCAGAGAGAGAGACCAGAGAGATAGACCAGAGAGATAGACCAGAGATAGACCAGAGAGAGACCAGAGAGAGAGACCAGAGAGAGACCAGAGAGAGAGACCAGAGAGAGAGACCAGAGAGAGAGACCAGAGAGAGAGACCAGAGAGAGAGACCAGAGAGAGAGACCAGAGAGAGAGACCAGAGAGAGAGACCAGAGAGAGAGACCAGAGAGAGAGACCAGAGAGAGAGACCAGAGAGAGACCAGAGAGAGAGACCAGAGAGAGAGACCAGAGAGAGAGACCAGAGAGAGAGACCAGAGAGAGAGACCAGAGAGAGAGACCAGAGAGAGAGACCAGAGAGAGAGACCAGAGAGAGAGACCAGAGAGATAGACCAGAGAGATAGACCAGAGAGATAGACCAGAGAGAGAGACCAGAGAGAGAGACCAGAGAGACCAGAGAGAGAGACCAGAGAGAGAGACCAGAGAGATAGACCAGAGATAGACCAGAGAGAGAGACCAGAGAGATAGACCAGAGAGACCAGAGAGAGAGACCAGAGAGAGAGACCAGAGAGAGAGACCAGAGATAGACCAGAGATAGACCAGAGAGAGACCAGAGAGAGAGACCAGAGAGAGAGACCAGAGAGAGAGACCAGAGAGAGAGACCAGAGAGAGAGACCAGAGAGATAGACCAGAGAGATAGACCAGAGATAGACCAGAGAGATAAACCAGAGATAGACCAGAGATAGACCAGAGAGAGACCAGAGAGAGAGACCAGAGAGAGAGACCAGAGAGAGAGACCAGAGAGAGAGACCAGAGAGAGAGACCAGAGAGAGAGACCAGAGAGAGAGACCAGAGAGAGAGACCAGAGAGAGACCAGAGAGAGATACCAGAGAGATAGACCAGAGAGATAGACCAGAGAGATAGACCAGAGAGATAGACCAGAGAGATAGACCAGAGAGATAGACCAGAGAGATAGACCAGAGAGATAGACCAGAGAGATAGACCAGAGAGAGAGACCAGAGAGATAGACCAGAGAGAGAGACCAGAGAGATAGACCAGAGAGATAGACCAGAGAGATAGACCAGAGAGATAGACCAGAGAGATAGACCAGAGAGATAGACCAGAGAGATAGACCAGAGAGATAGACCAGAGAGATAGACCAGAGAGAAGACCAGAGAGATAGACCAGAGAGATAGACCAGAGAGATAGACCAGAGAGATAGACCAGAGAGATAGACCAGAGAGATAGACCAGAGAGATAGACCAGAGAGATAGACCAGAGATAGACCAGAGATAGACCAGAGATAGACCAGAGATAGACCAGAGAGAGACCAGAGAGAGACCAGAGAGAGACCAGAGAGAGACCAGAGAGAGACCAGAGAGAGACCAGAGAGAGACCAGAGAGAGACCAGAGAGAGACCAGAGAGAGACCAGAGAGAGACCAGAGAGAGACCAGAGAGAGACCAGAGAGAGACCAGAGAGAGACCAGAGAGAGACCAGAGAGAGACCAGAGAGAGACCAGAGAGAGACCAGAGAGAGACCAGAGAGAGACCAGAGAGAGACCAGAGAGAGAGACTGTGTGTTATCGCAGTAACAGTCTCCCTGTTGTGTTGCAGCCGACCTGAAGCGTCTGTGTCGTCTGAGCGAGGATATGCGCAGTCCTCCAAACCTGAAGGGGGCGCTGAGACGGGAGTCAGACCCCTGTGAGAGGGTCAACGGTACAGTCTCTGTGTGCAGTGATCCAGACACTAGTGGGGTGCTCCATGGTACGAACACACACACACATACACGCATGTATACACACACACATACATTTATTTATATACTGTATGTATTTTACACTCACACACCAATAGACACACTGTCCATCAACAATCAACATCAACTTTTTATCCCTCTAACCTCTGGTCCCTCACTGGTCTCTCAGGTCTCTCACTGGTCCCTCTGGTCCCTCACTGGTCTCTCAGGTCTCTCACTGGTCCCTCTGGTCTCTCACTGGTCCCTCTGGTCCCTCACTGGTCTCTCAGGTCTCTCACTGGTCCCTCTGGTCCCTCACTGGTCTCTCAGGTCTCTCACTGGTCCCTCTGGTCCCTCACTGGTCTCTCAGGTCTCTCACTGGTCCCTCTGGTCCCTCACTGGTCTCTCAGGTCTCTCACTGGTCCCTCTGGTCCCTCACTGGTCCCTCTGGTCTCTTACTGGTCCCTGTGGTCTCTCACTGGTCCCTCTGGTCTCTCACTGGTCCCTCTGGTCCCTCACTGGTCCCTCTGGTCTCTTACTGGTCCCTGTGGTCTCTCACTGGTCCCTCTGGTCCCTCACTGGTCCCTCTGGTCTCTTACTGGTCCCTGTGGTCCCTCACTGGTCCCTCTGGTCTCTTACTGGTCCCTGTGGTCTCTCACTGGTCCCTCTGGTCTCTCACTGGTCCCTCTGGTCTCTTACTGGTCCCTGTGGTCTCTCACTGGTCCCTCTGGTCTCTCACTGGTCCCTCTGGTCCCTCACTGGTCTCTCAGGTCTCTCACTGGTCCCTCTGGTCCCTCACTGGTCCCTCTGGCCTCTCACTGGTCCCTCTGGTCTCTCACTGGTCCCTCTGGTCTCTCACTGGTCCCTCTGGTCTCTTACTGGTCCGTCTGGTCTCTTACTGGTCCCTGTGGTCTCTCACTGGTCCCTCTGGTCTCTCACTGGTCCCTCTGGTCTCTCACTGGTCCCTCTGGTCTCTTACTGGTCCGTCTGGTCTCTTACTGGTCCCTGTGGTCTCTCACTGGTCCCTCTGGTCTCTCACTGGTCCCTCTGGTCTCTTACTGGTCCGTCTGGTCTCTTACTGGTCCCTGTGGTCTCTCACTGGTCCCTCTGGTCTCTCACTGGTCCCTCTGGTCTCTTACTGGTCCGTCTGGTCTCTTACTGGTCCCTGTGGTCTCTCACTGGTCCCTCTGGTCTCTCACTGGTCCCTGTGGTCTCTCACTGGTCCCTCTGGTCTCTCACTGGTCCCTGTGGTCTCTCAAGGCGCGTTCAGACCGGACTTAACTTTGGCGTCAAAAGCGTCAGGTTTGCATTGAAAGTGAATGGTGAAGCGCGTCAGGTGAAGCCGAGAGCCCCGGCGTCACTTGGCCTCTTCAAAAGCTTCAAGAGTCGCGAGTAACACGCGCGTATCAAAACAATCCCTTTGACGCTGAAGCTGAGAAAAGCTGAGCTTTTGGAGCTTTGACGCTCAACCAATCAGGAGACGAGGAGCAGCAGCAGCAGAGGGTCTGTCTCTGTCATGGAGAGAAGTCATGTGACTACTACTGCTGCTGCTGTTTTTTCTTGTCATTAATGTTGTTAGTAATATTTGTATGAGTAGTAACGTTCTTTATAAGTGAGTAACAAAACCATCGTACACTTGCTGTGTAGAAAACGTAATTTATTTAATATAAGAACAAGCTGACGATGAGTCTGGCTCAGGGCGAGAGCGAGGCAGCTCCAGGCGGGGAGAGGAGAGCTCCAGGCGGGGAGAGGAGAGCTCCAGGCGGGGAGAGGCGAGCGAGAGGCGGGGAGAGGAGAGCTCCAGGCGGGGAGAGGAGAGCTCCAGGCGGGGACAGGCGAGCTCCAGGCGGGGAGAGGAGAGCTCCAGACGGGGACAGGCGAGCTCCAGGCGGGGAGAGGGGAGCGAGAGGCGGGGACAGGCGAGCTCCAGGCGGGGAGAGGCAAGCTCCAGGCGGGCAGAGGCGAGCTCCAGGCGGGAAGAGGGGAGCTCCAGGCGGGCAGAGGCGAGCTCCAGGCGGGCAGAGGCGAGCTCCAGGCTGGCAGAGGCGAGCTCCAGGCGGGCAGAGGCGAGCTCCAGGCGGGCAGAGGCGAGCTCCAGGCGGGCAGAGGGGAGCGAGAGGCGGGCAGAGGGGAGCTCCAGGCGGGGAGAGGAGAGCTCCAGGCGGGCAGAGGCGAGCTCCAGGCGGGCAGAGGGGAGCTCCAGGCGGGCAGAGGCGAGCTCCAGGCAGGCAGAGGCGAGCTCCAGGCGGGCAGAGGCGAGCTCCAGGCGGGCAGAGGCGAGCTCCAGGCGGGCAGAGGCGAGCTCCAGGCGGGCAGAGGCGAGCTCCAGGCGGGCAGAGGCGAGCTCCAGGCGGGCAGAGGCGAGCTCCAGGCGGGCAGAGGCGAGCTCCAGGCGGGCAGAGGCGAGCTCCAGGCGGGCAGAGGGCGAGCTCCAGGCGGGCAGAGGCGAGCTCCAGGCGGGCAGAGGCGAGCTCCAGGCGGGCAGAGGGGAGCGAGAGGCGGGCAGAGGGGAGCGAGAGGCGGGCAGAGGCGAGCTCCAGGCGGGCAGAGGCGAGCTCCAGGCGGGCAGAGGCGAGCTCCAGGCGGGCAGAGGGGAGCGAGAGGCGGGCAGAGGGGAGCGAGAGGCGGGCAGAGGGGAGCGAGAGGCGGGCAGAGGGGAGCGAGAGGCGGGCAGAGGGGAGCGAGAGGCGGGGAGAGGAGAGCTCCAGGCGGGGAGAGGAGAGCTCCAGGCGGGGAGAGGAGAGCTCCAGGCGGACAGAGGGGAGCGAGAGGCGGGGAGAGGGGAGCTCCAGGCGGGGAGAGGAGAGGCGAGCGAGAGGCAGGGAGAGGCGAGCTCCAGGCGGGGAGAGGCGAGCTCCAGGCGGGGAGTGGCGAGCTCCAGGCGGGGAGAGGAGAGCTCCAGGCGGGGAGAGGAGAGCTCCAGGCGGGGAGAGGAGAGCTCCAGGCGGGGAGAGGAGAGCTCCAGACGGGGACAGGCGAGCTCCAGGCGGGGAGAGGAGAGCTCCAGGCGGGGACAGGCGGGGACAGGCGAGCTCCAGGCGGGCAGAGGCGAGCTCCAGGCGGGCAGAGGCGAGCTCCAGGCGGGCAGAGGCGAGCTCCAGGCGGGCAGAGGCGAGCTTTAGGCGGGCAGAGGCGAGCTCCAGGCGGGCAGAGGCGAGCTCCAGGCGGGCAGAGGCGAGCTCCAGGCGGGCAGAGGCGAGCTCCAGGCGGGCAGAGGGGAGTGAGAGGCGGGGAGAGGCGAGCGAGAGGCGGGGAGAGGCGAGCGAGAGGCGGGGAGAGGAGAGCTCCAGGCGGGGAGAGGAGAGCTGCAGGCGGGGAGAGGAGAGCTCCAGGCGGGGAGAGGAGAGCTCCAGGCGGGGAGAGGGGAGCTCCAGGCGGGGAGAGGGGAGCGAGAGGCGGGGAGAGGAGAGCGAGAGGCGGGGAGAGGAGAGCGAGAGGCGGGGAGAGGAGAGCGAGAGGCGGGGAGAGGAGAGCTCCAGGCGGGGAGAGGCGAGCTCCAGGCGGGGAGAGGGGAGCTCCAGGCGGGCAGAGGCGAGCTCCAGGCGGGCAGAGGCGAGCTCCAGGCGGGCAGAGGCGAGCTCCAGGCGGGCAGAGGCGAGCTCCAGGCGGGCAGAGGCGAGCTCCAGGCGGGCAGAGGCGAGCTCCAGGCGGGCAGAGGCGAGCTCCAGGCGGGCAGAGGCGAGCTCCAGGCGGGCAGAGGCGAGCTCCAGGCGGGCAGAGGCGAGCTCCAGGCGGGCAGAGGCGAGCTCCAGGCGGGCAGAGGGGAGCGAGAGGCGGGGAGAGGGGAGCTCCAGGCGGGGAGAGGAGAGGCGAGCGAGAGGCGGGGAGAGGAGAGGCGAGCGAGAGGCGGGGAGAGGAGAGCTCCAGGCGGGGAGAGGAGAGCTCCAGGCGGGGAGAGGAGAGCTCCAGACGGGGAGAGGAGAGCTCCAGGCGGGCAGAGGGGAGCGAGAGGCGGGGAGAGGGGAGCTCCAGGCGGGGAGAGGAGAGGCGAGCGAGAGGCGGGGAGAGGCGAGCTCCAGGCGGGGAGAGGCGAGCTCCAGGCGGGGAGAGGCGAGCTCCAGGCGGGGAGAGGAGAGCTCCAGGCGGGGAGAGGAGAGCTCCAGGCGGGGACAGGCGAGCTCCAGGCGGGGAGAGGAGAGCTCCAGGCGGGGAGAGGCGAGCTCCAGGCGGGGAGAGGAGAGCTCCAGGCGGTGACAGGCGAGCTCCAGGTGGGGAGAGGGGAGCTCCAGGCGGGGACAGGCGGGGACAGGCGAGCTCCAGGCGGGCAGAGGCGAGCTCCAGGCGGGCAGAGGCGAGCTCCAGGCGGGCAGAGGCGAGCTCCAGGCGGGCAGAGGCGAGCTCCAGGCGGGCAGAGGCGAGCTCCAGGCGGGCAGAGGCGAGCTCCAGGCGGGCAGAGGCGAGCTCCAGGCGGGCAGAGGCGAGCTCCAGGCGGGGAGAGGCGAGCTCCAGGCGGGCAGAGGTGAGCTCCAGGCGGGCAGAGGCGAGCTCCAGGCGGGCAGAGGGGAGCGAGAGGCGGGGAGAGGCGAGCGAGAGGCGGGGAGAGGAGAGCTCCAGACGGGGAGAGGAGAGCTCCAGACGGGGAGAGGAGAGCTCCAGGCGGGGAGAGACGAGCGAGAGGCGGGGAGAGGAGCGCGAGAGGCGGGGAGAGGAGAGCTCCAGGCGGGGACAGGCGAGCTCCAGGCGGGGAGAGGAGAGCTCCAGGCGGGGAGAGGAGAGCGAGAGGCGGGGAGAGGAGAGCTCCAGGCGGGGAGAGGAGAGCTCCAGGCGGGGAGAGGAGAGCGAGAGGCGGGGACAGGCGAGCGAGAGGCGGGGAGAGGCGAGCGAGAGGCGGGGAGAGGAGAGCGAGAGGCGGGGAGAGGAGAGCGAGAGGCGGGGAGAGGAGAGCGAGAGGCGGGGAGAGGAGAGCTCCAGGCGGGGACAGGCGAGCTCCAGGCGGGGAGAGGGGAGCGAGAGGCGGGGAGAGGCGAGCGAGAGGCGGGGAGAGGAGAGCTCCAGGCGGGGACAGGCGAGCTCCAGGCGGGGAGAGGCGAGCGAGAGGCGGGGAGAGGAGAGCGAGAGGCGGGGAGAGGAGAGCTCCAGGCGGGGACAGGCGAGCTCCAGGCGGGGAGAGGAGAGCGAGAGGCGGGGAGAGAGAGAGAGCGAGAGGCGGGGACAGGGGCGAGCGAGAGGGGGGAGAGGAGAGCTCCAGGCAGGGAGAGGGGAGCGAGAGGCGGGGAGAGGAGAGCGAGAGGCGGGGAGAGGAGAGCTCCAGGCGGGGAGAGGAGAGCTCCAGGCGGGGAGAGGAGAGCTCCAGGCGGGGAGAGGAGAGCTCCAGGCGGGGAGAGGAGAGCGAGAGGCGGGGACAGGCGAGCGAGAGGCGGGGAGAGGCGAGCTCCAGGCGGGGACAGGCGAGCTCCAGGCGGGGAGAGGAGAGCTCCAGGCGGGGAGAGGGGAGCGAGAGGCGGGGAGAGGAGAGCTCCAGGCGGGGAGAGGGGAGCGAGAGGCGGGGAGAGGAGAGCTCCAGGCGGGGAGAGGAGAGCGAGAGGCGGGGAGAGGAGTGCTCCAGGCGGGGAGAGGGGAGCGAGAGGCGGGGAGAGGAGAGCTCCAGGCGGGGAGAGGAGAGCGAGAGGCGGGCAGAGGGGAGCGAGAGGCGGGGAGAGGAGAGCTCCAGGCGGGCAGAGGGGAGAGCGAGGTGGGGAGAGGCGAGCTCCGGGGTTTGAGAACTCAGACTGGGTGAGTGACATGCGGAAGTACCGCTGAAAGCGAAACTCCTCCGTACGCAGCTCCTGGAGTAAATGACGGAACTCTGCAAACACTGCAGCCTCTCAAGTCTGTGGTGAACCCAGAACACGTTTTATAGAAACCCCACGACAGCGTTATTTTGCATTATATAACAAATAAAAGCTCGCTGCTCTCTGGAAAATCCACCGTTGACTACAGGCAACAGAGAAGCTCCTCCCACCGGCGTCACTCGCGTCAAAAGCTTCAAGCACCAAAATGACAAAACTATCCCGGCGTCAGTTGAAGCGCGTCAAAAGCTTTTTGAAGCTTTTGGTCTGAACGCGCCTTCACTGGTCCCTCTGGTCTCTTACTGGTCCCTGTGGTCTCTCACTGGTCCCTGTGCTCTCTCACTGGTCCCTGTGCTCTCTCGCTGTTCCCTGTGCTCTCTCAGGGTTCACACAGGTACAGTCTCCTCAGTTCGCCCGTGGATCAGTGTTTCCCACTCAGCCCTCGGTGCAGCAGCTGCAGGAACAGGACAAGTACAAGGCCTTCCTCAGACTGCAGGTGAGTGTCCCCCACATGTCCCCCACATGTCCCCCACATGTCCCCCACATGTCCTCCACATGTCCTCCACATGTCCCCCACATGTCCCCCACATGTCCCCCACATGTCCTCCCCATGTCCCCCACATGTCCCCCACATGTCCCCCACATATCCTCCACATGTCCTCTCAGATTAGTCCTGGTCTCAGGTCTCTGTCCTGAAGTCCTCTCACATTAGTCCTGGTCTCAGGTCTCTGTCCTGAAGTCCTCTCACATTAGTCCTGGTCTCAGGTCTCTGTCTTGAAGTCCTCTCACATTAGTCCTGGTCTCAGGTCTCTGTCCTGAAGTCCTCTCACATTAGTCCTGGTCTCAGGTCTCTGTCCTGAAGTCCTCTCACATTAGTCCTGGTCTCAGGTCTCTGTCCTGAAGTCCTCTCACATTAGTCCTGGTCTCAGGTCTCTGTCCTGAAGTCCTCTCACATTAGTCCTGGTCTCAGGTCTCTGTCATGAAGTCCTCTCACATTAGTCCTGGTCTCAGGTCTCTGTCCTGAAGTCCTCTCACATTAGTCCTGGTCTCAGGTCTCTGTCCTGAAGTCCTCTCACATTAGTCCTGGTCTCAGGTCTCTGTCCTGAAATCCTCTCACATTAGTCCTGGTCTCAGGTCTCTGTCTTGAAGTCCTCTCACATTAGTCCTGGTCTCAGGTCTCTGTCCTGAAGTCCTCTCACATTAGTCCTGGTCTCAGGTCTCTGTCCTGAAGTCCTCTCACATTAGTCCTGGTCTCAGGTCTCTGTCCTGAAGTCCTCTCACATTAGTCCTGGTCTCAGGTCTCTGTCCTGAAGTCCTCTCACATTAGTCCTGGTCTCAGGTCTCTGTCCTGAAGTCCTCTCACATTAGTCCTGGTCTCAGGTCTCTGTCCTGAAGTCCTCTCACATTAGTCCTGGTCTCAGGTCTCTGTCCTGAAGTCCTCTCACATTAGTCCTGGTCTCAGGTCTCTGTCCTGAAGTCCTCTCACATTAGTCCTGGTCTCAGGTCTCTGTCCTGAAGTCCTCTCACATTAGTCCTGGTCTCAGGTCTCTGTCCTGAAGTCCTCTCACATTAGTCCTGGTCTCAGGTCTCTGTCCTGAAGTCCCTCACATTAGTCCTGGTCTCAGGTCTCTGTCCTGAAGTCCTCTCACATTAGTCCTGGTCTCAGGTCTCTGTCCTGAAGTCCTCTCACATTAGTCCTGGTCTCAGGTCTCTGTCCTGAAGTCCTCTCACATTAGTCCTGGTCTCAGGTCTCTGTCCTGAAGTCCTCTCACATTAGTCCTGGTCTCAGGTCTCTGTCCTGAAGTCCTCTCACATTAGTCCTGGTCTCAGGTCTCTGTCCTGAAGTCCTCTCACATTAGTCCTGGTCTCAGGTCTCTGTCCTGAAGTCCTCTCACATTAGTCCTGGTCTCAGGTCTCTGTCCTGAAGTCCTCTCACATTAGTCCTGGTCTCAGGTCTCTGTCCTGAAGTCCTCTCACATTAGTCCTGGTCTCAGGTCTCTGTCCTGAAGTCCTCTCACATTAGTCCTGGTCTCAGGTCTCTGTCCTGAAGTCCTCTCACATTAGTCCTGGTCTCAGGTCTCTGTCCTGAAGTCCTCTCACATTAGTCCTGGTCTCAGGTCTCTGTCCTGAAGTCCTCTCACATTAGTCCTGGTCTCAGGTCTCTGTCCTGAAGTCCTCTCACATTAGTCCTGGTCTCAGGTCTCTGTCCTGAAGTCCTCTCACATTAGTCCTGGTCTCAGGTCTCTGTCCTGAAGTCCTGTGTGTGCTGCAGATGGATGAGAAGCAGCGTCTGAAGGCCGAGGAGCGGGAGCGGCAGCGTCTGGAGGAGGAGAAGGAGGAGAAGAGACTGAGTGAACAGCGAGCACGAATCCAGCAGGAGTTTGAGGAGGAGCAGGAGAGGAAGAGGCGCAAGGAGCAGGAGGTGAGAGTCCAACTCATCCAAACTTCAGGGATTGACTCAATCGGTCGGCCCGGTGGCTGAGTGGTTTGCACTCTTACTTCTCAGCAAGAAGGTCCTGGGTTTGAATCCCAGTCGGAACAGGGTCCTTCTGAGTGGAGTTTACATGTTCTCC